TACATAAAGCCATAAATTGAAAATAAGTTCGATCAATAGCCATTGATATACTTCGTATAATCTACGGAGTATATTTTGAGTCAATATTCAACTATATATATACTCCCTCCGCCTCTTTGAGATGTTCCTGGTTTGACCTACACATATTAAAGAAATAAACTTACCACAGGGTAAATTTTATTGTTTTGACACGATTTGACACTGTTTTGCATTGTTTGACACTGTTTTGATGTAGAATAACTTTCCATTTAAGGAAAAGAGAACTTCTTTTTTGGACCAACATCCCAACGGGACAGAGGAGTATATTCTAGCTCATCTAATTGTTCTTTTGGTTTTTTTTAATACGAAAGGTGGATTTGGCGTCTTGGTTGCACAATTTATAAGTAGGTCCATGAGTTAACACCTAGATTACATTCAACCTTAAGATTCGAGTTTAATCGTACGGAGTAGTATAACTGTATAACAATTGATTGCCGTTAAAGAACAAAATATTGATGCATTCTAGGGTGCTGTCTATTAAATAATTCCATTATTACTATATTCATCCAAAGAGTTTTTGTCATTTTCGATGCTCCACCACTATTATGTATTGAATTTTTTTATTGTTGACTTTTAATTTTTCCAGACAATTGTGTCAGGGACATTTTTAGTTATTGATTTCATCATTTCAAAGTTTCTCACATTTAATCCCATGAGTATTATCAAATTGACAATTTTAGTCTTTCAACTATGATTTTGACACATTAAAAGGTGAGCTAAAAATGTCATTATTATAATAGTTGAAAGATCAAAAGTGTCACTTTTATGAAAGTCGGGGGACTAAATATGAAAATTTTTAAATACAGGTACCAAAAGTGTCTCTTAGCACAATTGTCATGGACTAAAAGTGAAAAAAATCAAAGTCGAGTAGGTGTGGGCGCGGTCTGAGTCGGTTCGGTAATTAATTAGCAGAACCCGTAATGTACCACTCGTGACGTTTCTAACGGTCCGGTCCGGTTTGGTTCTAAGGATAGAATCACTTGGTACCATGTCGTTTCAAAATGGTACAAAACGATACGGTACAATGTCAAACATATGATAAAAATTTTGGACAAATTTTGCAATTATTAGATATCATCACACCGACCAACTCACATTAAATGTTAATAAAAATACAAGAAATTGCATACTAAATACTAGGAAAGATTCAAGAGGTTGACATTTTTGTAGTTAAATAGTCAAATAGTGTGACACAATAATGGAAAAATATAACAAAATGATGATACACCAGATAAATATCATCTTTAATTTATAAATTCATGTGAAAATATAAAACAACGTCATCAAATTATTAAATATAATAGAAAAATTCAACTTTCTTCTTCTTTGTTATAGGTTAATTTAAATATTAGTTCTAATTTAATTTTTAGTGACATTGAACCGTGAGAGCTAAGATTTAAATCATATTAATTAAGTTGTAAACCTGAACAAATATGATTTAACAAATAGTCATATACCAAGTACACTACACTACTAGAAATTAATAGTCATTAATGATATTTAAGACATTAGCATTTTTTCAATATATATCAAAATATAACATAAACTATATAAAAGGAAAAATATCGATATTTATACATATTTGCATATACCAAAATATAACATAAATTATATAAAAGGAAAAAAATAACGATATTATTGGTCTATAAAAGAGATTCATTCATATGGGAAAATATACAAATTTCAAATGCATTATTGTTGAACGGTCCGGTCCGGTATTTTCGGTTATCAAAATCAAAGACCGGTCTCGTACACTGCACATTTCAAACGGTACGGTTTTGGTTGGGGATAGAAATCTATAGAACCGTTTAAATACCTGGTATTCGGTTCGATACCATTACTGGCCGATTCGGTACCAGTTCGGTTTTTATGCCCACCCCTAAAGTCGAGTACAAAAAGTGTCAATGACATAGGGTGTTTTTACTTGGACTGAAATTTGCTGGTCTGGTCTGTTTAAGTCTGGTTTGGTCTAGTAAATGTGCAATCTCTGTGTATTTTATAACTACAGAAGTCTGGTCTGGTCTGATCTGAACCAGTCTGGTCTGATCTGGTCTGGTCTGGTCTGTTTAAGTCTGTTCTGGTTTGGTCTGGGGCTAAAAGTAGGGGTGGGCAAAAATACCGAACCGGCATGATACCGAACCGGAGCGGTATGGTACCGGACCAATAAACGGGGTTTGAAACGAGTCTCAAAATTTTTTGTCCCGAACCGGACCGAACCGGTTCCAAACAATGCCATGACCGGTTCTCATAAAATGAGAACCGGTACCGGACCGAAGTATGGTTTATTAAATTTGTACTACTATAGTTTATCTAAAATACATTAATTACCCCATCCGTCCCAAATGATTTGCAAAGCCAACATTTTTTGTCAAAGTTAATGTTAAGTTCTTGATAATTAAATTACAATTTTTAATAATTAAAATTTACATATTTAGAAACCACATTAAAATCTCTCTAAAGTTGCAGAATCCAAATTAAAATATACAAAGTACGGAGTAGTTTTTTTGAAAGGCCAAATTAGAATATAATTAAAAAGTGAAAATCTAATTAAGTGAATAAAAAGAAATTGTTTGACCAAAAAAAGATTGACTTTGCAAATCAATTTGGAACGAGGGTAGTATGATATATGAAAATTGATAAATTGTGTGGATTTTTTGGAGGATGGCTAAACTTTAATTTTTTCTTAAACACCTGGAAAAAGTGGCATTGTTTGGTATTGGTATGGCATGGTACCGTCCCGTTTGAAAATGGACCGTACCGAACGGGTTTGGGTCTAAGACCGAACCGTACCGAACCATTTCAATAGTAACGGTACGGGTACGGGGTCGGCCAAATATTGGACCGGACCGGACCGTGCCCACCCCTAGCTAAAAGCAGACCAAGTAAAAACATTCATAATAGTCAGAGGACTAAAAGTGACAAAAACTCTTCATCTAAACAAATCAGTAACCTTTCATAACATATGCATTCCCGTGAATTTCATACGTATTCTTAAAGAGGGCGTCTTAAGACCCGGGGTTCCACCCTAAAAGGTCAACTTGATAGGAGGAGTGGTACAAATACTTTAACAGACATATCCACTAATTTATCATTCTGAGCTAAATATGAAAAATACAAAAAAAAAAAATTACATTGGAAAAACTGAAAAAATAAGATACTCTCAACTCCAGCTGACCATAGCTCATACATTGATCCTCTATTGCTAGTCAATAGATCATTCCTCTGCATCATCTCTTCGATCGATGGAGATGGCTACGAATGAAGAAGCAGCGGCAGCTAGACCTGCCACTCCGCTCCTTTCACAATTTCACATTCTCTTCTTCTCCTTTCTTGTGCACAAACCATCGTTGCTTGCTCCACTTCATTTCTTCTCCCTTTAGATCCATCCTTCCGGTGACGTGCTTTGTCAGATTTAGGGGGGAGGAGTGGCCCTAGATCCCGGCCGACCTCGACCAGATCTGAAACTGGACGGGGCTAGTTAGGCTAGCGCGGGGCAGAGAGAAGTGGCAGAAGGGATTTGGTGTAGGCAGTGGTCAGGTCAGCTGGTGGCGGTGGCAGGTCACCAGTGGCGGCGACAGGTCACCGACAGTGGTGTGGGACGGGGAGGTAGCGCTTGTCACTATCGGGTCGAGTAACCATGACTGGCAGGTGGGGTAACTGTAACTGGACGGGTCGGATAACTGTAACTAGGGACGGGACGAGTAACTTTAACTGCGGTTTGGGTAACTGTAAGTGGACAGGTCGGGTAATTGTAACTGGATGGGTCGACTAACTGTAACAAACAGATCGAGTAACTATAACGGGCAGCAACGGGTCACTGGCAGGGCGGGTCGCAATAGGATTTTTTGTCACTAGCTGACAGATTTTTTTCACTATAGCACTAGTGAACGAGAATATATTAATATAAGGGCATAATAGACTCTTTGCATCTATTTAGTCTCATTTTTTGGAAATATTTAAAAAAAAATCCTTTTTTGTCCATAACTCATATTTTAATACTCTCTCCGTCCCAAAATTGAGTTGCAAATTTAATTTTTTGGGTCAAGCAGTCTCATTTTATTCATTTAATTAGGATACGAATTTTTAATTAAATTTTTATTTGGACTTCGCAATTTGATAGAAATTTTAATGTAGTTTCTGAATATGTAAATTTTAATTATTAAAATTGAATTATTTATCAATAGGGAGGATTTAACTTTAACATTGATTGACCAAAAAAATGTTGATTTCGCAAAACAAATTGAGACAGAGGTAGTAATATTTTTTACATAATCCCTTAATTATGTATTCGTTTTTATTGTACTACCCCGTCCCTTTTTATTTAGCCAAATTTAACTTTGAAAGTCAATGATGTTAAACTTTGACGAATTATAAATTTATACACAATAATACTCCATTCATAATAACATGAAAATGATTTTTTTTATGGTAACATGAAAGTGAACTGAAAATAATTTTTTACAGGGAAAACTGTCAAATAGGTCCTCGAACTTTCATAAAAAAATCAATTATATAAGTCTTTCTTGAAGATAACTGCGCATTTTTGCGTTCTCGAATTCATTCGAATGTGTTCCCAATGGAATTTTTAGTTAAAATTTGATATGAGTAAACTAAACTAGATTAATAAGATGCTAAAAAAATTTCATCAAAAAATTCCACCGGATTTTCACCGGAAACCGCCCCAAATCGCGATGGCCGGGCAGAGTCTCTTATAGAAGGACTTAATCGACTTTTTTATGAAAGTTCGAGAACCTATTTGACAGTTTTCCCTTTTTTACAAATACAATCATAAAAGTATAAACTTATTAAGTTTGACATAAAGATTTTAATTAAAATAATCGAGGAAAGTTTACTATATTTGACAGGGAAAATTCAAAGATGACTAAATTAGAAGAGATTCATGATTATGATTATGACTAGATCAACACTCTTAACATAGATTATTATCAGACGTGAATACATACTTCTCCTTTCACATTTCTCTCTTGTAGTCTTGTTGATATTCTGCTTTCACATATCTGTCTTCCTTTTTGAATTTCACCTGGCAGCTGCCCCTTCACGCCATGTCTAAAGTTTATAACTCTTTCAAAAGCTACTCCAAAAGATAAAAGAGAAACGACTTCTCGATCACTTGCCAAGAATTGTATATATACACGCTAGCTAGCTAGCTATATGTAGCAATAGCATCATTCCATATGTATACACATTTCAAAAAAATAAATATCTGGCAGTAATCGAACAGGTTATTTTCCTGCAGCAGGCTAGCTTCTATTTATCTGTCTGTGGAAATTAAGCTGAAACCCACCACGGGTTGAGGAGGAAGAAGAAATGTTCAGAATGAGTCAATGGAGGCTCCTCATCTTCGTCCAGTTCATCTCTCTGTTAATATGTTCAGGTGACTGTCCCTATCATTAGTGTTTACTTGGAGTGCTCTTTGATGACATTTTTTTACATATGTTCATTTCATATATAGTGTCATAATAATACTGCAATACTATCGTATACCAGTATATTTAAGGTGATGGTATGTTTTAAGTTATCATCATCTTCTTAATGGCGATCCGGCCCAATCTGATCTTAATGCTCTTTTGTTATATCAGAAATTAATTGCCCAATGGATGTTAATTTTATTCCCGTTCAAAACTGATACATATCTTCATATATATTCAAAGTTGTCCAATTCTATGGACTATGGTATTGTTAAATTATAGTTCTCGTTCTTACGTTGTGCTTAAATTTAGATCAATAAAATTAATTATTGCAATTAATTAATGAAATATAAACAAATGATAGAAATAATCATGTAAATCAATCACTCGTAGTATGTGATAAGTATAGGTAGTACTCCGTACAATATACTCACCTTTTCATGTGGTACGATAGCATGCACCTTCAAAGTTGGTCACATTTGTATAATGGTGAATCTTATGATCCTCATAAAAAAATGATGGTATGGTGTCTATCATACGTTTGATTGATCTAAGTCATTATTTCATCATTTATTTACACTTGAATTATTAAATTACTATATTTCACTTGGTCCATGTGGAAAAGTCATGGTACCTTGCGGTGTCATATAAAAATTTGCCTTGTATTATCAATCACACGTTAATATTAATTCATGTGCTATCCGTTCTATCGATCATAAAATGATGTACATTTTTTGTACACACAATCAAGATGACATTTTTAATACTCCGTACTAGTTAAGATGAAATTTTTACTACTAGTAATATTTTTCTTTTAGTGAATTAATCTGTCGACAAAATTTTCCACTAGATGACATTTAATTACTTTGCTATCATGATGGTGTTTTTGCTTGTGATGGCAATTTGACTAGATTTGTAAATTGACTTAATAATGACATTATAATATCATCATGAATGATGACATTCAAATTTCAAAATTACATTCTCGCTTGGGCATTTTTGTCATTCACCCCAACTTTTAGTGCTACTACATGACATAAAAAGTCATGGCCCTATTTTTGTACTTTGGCCATGTACGTGTTAATTAGTTTTCTTTGGGACATTTTTAAACTTCTAGCTATGTGTTTCAAATTGAATGCAGAGGGGAAAATATCCAGCATTCAAAGAAATATTTTTTCATCATCTACTACTCCAACGTCGAAACCTCCTCCTCCGCTTGAGGCTGCAACTTCCACGATTTCGCCAGCATCTCCCACTCTAAGCACCAACTGGTGTATTGCTGGAGAAAATGCTTCCCCAGATGATTTACAAAGAGCCTTAGACTTTGCGTGTAACACGAATAAAACTGGTGTTAATTGTGCAGACATACAGCCTGGTGGAAACTGCTTCATTCCCAACACCCTCAAAAACCATGCCTCCTATGCTATGAATCTCTATCATCAGATCAACCACAATCTTTCTGACAGCTGCAATTTTGGTGGGGTTGGGTTCATAACCACCGTTGACCCGACTGAATCACTCGTTACAACAACACCCATTACCCAAAATAGTTTGAATGCGTCCCGTGAGTCACTCATCCTTCAATCTTAACGGTGTCATGGTTATTCTTATTCTACTTTGGCTGAACATAAAAGGGTGAACTTGTGTGCTATGAATGAGGGTTAACTTTATAATAGTATACCCATGAATCCGTGATCGAATCATACATGAACGAGGGAATTTGATTTTGCACGCCAATTTTGGGGTGATATTGGATTTCACATCACATTTTCAAAAAACTTTGATTTGGCATCTCTCACTTGAAAATCATTTGATTTTGCACCCCATTAAGAAACTTTTCTTCACAAAATGTTATATGATGATGTGTAAAGTCAAATCTTTTTAAAAATGTGGTGCAAAGTCCTATATCACCCCAAAATTGGCGTGCAAAGTCAAATTCCCTCGTAGTACAGAGTATATATGATTCGATCACGGATTTATGGGTATACTATTATAAAGTTAACCGTCATTCATAGCACACAAATTAAATAAGCTGACTAGAACGTAACCCCATGTCTCAGTGAAATATAAATTGACCTTTTTTATTAATTATTCTGATCTGCATGCTCTACATGTTATTGTTTGCAGAGAATGCTACTCGTTTACCATGTCGTTATCTACCCACAAGGTGAGAGATCAGATAGAGTAGTTTTGCTTAATTGCTTGCATGCATGATGCATGGTTTACATATATATTATACGGGTAAAATGCATAAATAGTACCTCTATTTTTTGTATTGTTGTACTCTGATATCTTAACTTTTGTTGTATTATTTGTATTGTTGTACTTTGATATCTTAACTTTTAAATGAGTTAATGAAAGAAATCAATATCATAACTATAGTTAAATGTTTCAATCGGCAATACCATTGGTCAAACTTTTCAGCCAATAAATCCACACGGCGACCAGAATATAACTCGTACAATCCTCTGTATAGTGGAATCCCGGCATGGAGGCACCCCATAAAGGATTTTTTTCATCAGAAATTTGAATAGTATTGTCGTTTAAAACGTTTATGTATAGTTATGATACCGATTTAATTTGTTTCATTTAAGAGTTAAGTTTCAAAACGCAACAATACCAATAGCTAAGGTAAGTATTGTTTATACATTTTACGATTTTACACACTCTATATACACTTCTTTCTCTTTAATTGTCTCTAGATATATGTTTTTGTTTGTGTTGTTTATTATGAAGTACTACGTATTCAAAAGTGTATTAAGTATAGATTGATGTTCTTAAAAATGCAGCACAAGTGCATCAGGGTTTAACAACACTTCATTAAGTGGAACTTTTGGTGGAACTATTGGATCTGGACCCAACAGAGCCCCCTCATCATATTCCTCAACTGCTTCTGCACGAATTAGCTGCTTACAGATGTGTTATTCCATGATGTTAGCATTTCTTATGATAATATGCCTGGCGCGCGGATGATCGTTAATTGTCATATTGGTCAAAGCTTAATTATTGCAGTTAATTATGATCATTTCCTTTTGCTGCAAAACTGAAGACTTAATTGGATGGTTCTCACAATTCACACACAGAAATATACTCCGTCCTTATTATTTATTACTATTTACTATATATATATATATATATATATATATATATATATATATATATATATATATATGGAAAGCCCAATGTATACTGCCGGGCTTAATTTCATGTTTCCAGATGGATTGTGCATTCATTATGTATTGATACGTACTCCCTTTGTATGTTTTTTACATAACTTCATGTGTTGATATCGTTATTGTTAATTTAATGTTTTACCCTGCTGTGGTATTTTTGCTTATTGAAATTAAACTTTGATCTTTATTTATAGGAGTAATAACTAGCTAGATTTAAAGGTGTTTATGTTTGTAATTGAGAACCTACGATGCTTGCAGCTTTACTTTGAGCCTGCAAAATCTAAAACACCTTTTCACACCCAGACTTCGCCTATTCCTCCCTAGGCTTCAAAGGCTTGAGGTTTGGCTTCGACGCCTCCACACCTCACGCCTTTTAGAACACTGGTTGTAACTTGTAATTGCCTTCCTTTCAGTAAGATACTTATAATTGTTTGTGAAAAATAAAATAAAAACGTTCTTAAACTTTTGCTTAATAAATTGAAATTAAATAAGTGTTTCAAGTGACAAATTATATTTAAATTAAACATCTAAAAGCTAAAAGCTGAAAACCGGTATAGAGGTGCTTTAAACCGCTTTTTAACTTTTTCTATTACACACAGGCGCGATCCTATCATTTTATGGGTCCGGGATAGTATAAGTAGATCTACTTGTAATAGTTTTTGTTAAAAAACTATCTAGAGTAGGCCGGTCGTATGGACAATGTGTGAATACTTATACTCCGTAATAGTTTTTGTTACAAAGCTATAAGTAAAAAAAACCAATTTGAAATCCAAACATGATAATAACATATCAAAGAAACTAATAATGTAGGTAGTTAGAAATATCTATTTAAGCATTTGATAAACGACAATAGAGGATACTATGTACCTAAACCGGTCGAGCGAAACAAATAGTACAACTTTATATTACTTGCAATAAATAATTTTACATTAGGGGAAAACATGAAAGATATGCTCCGTATCATATAAGGACTAAGTTTTTAATTCATATTTCACATCACATTTTTAATGGACTAAACAAAATTGCAAGTTTCCAAATTCTGAGTATTATAATTTAATCTTTCGATCACTTACACGAGAGAATAAAATAAATTAAATAAATACTATCAAGTTTATTATATTCAATCGCTTATAATAAACGTAATTCAATCTTTTGAGTTGCTTGGTGCTAATCAAGCATGCAAGTCTACTCTCAAGCTACTCAAAATCGACTGCTCTTATTCAAACATAGCTCACTCAATTCAAATTACATTCGTACTTGAACTCGACTCGATCCAAATCAAGTCAAGCTATATTTATACATACTTGACTAGAAAAGCTCGCAAACTACTCGATTATTAGTTAGTTTTAATTACTTTAGATTAATACATATAATATGACATTATGCCATTACATCACATATTCATATTATGGATCCATGCATACAAATTGTACATATGGTCTACTAAATATACGAGTACTAGTGATTCACATATTGCATAACTTCTACGGATTATAGGCACTCCGAGACAATGCTCAAGTAGAACTAATTGATTCCACATGCTAAATTTTAAACTCCTTAGTAAAGTCTAGTGAAAACCTTGCGCATTTAAAGTTAATAGTAGTGTAGTACTGGGGATAGATTTTTTCGGATGCGGACATCTCCCTGACATAGAGTTTGAGTCTCTGCCGTCCTTTGGTGCGGCGTCCGTTTGTTAACGAGTCACATTGCTTTTATGTTGGAGGTGATTAATTCTAAGTTCGATTCTAAGGCGGATCACAACAGAAGACTTGTTGTCATTTTGCTATTGTAATTTAAGCCAATTTCGTTCAAATATAATAATTCTCTTTCTTCCTTACAAACCAAATCACACGACTTTTATTTTATTATTATTCTCCGGTCTCATTCGAAGTAGTAAATAATAGGGAAAGTTCTCGAAATAGAACTAAAACAGTTTGAAAATTTCAAAATAGGACTATCATGTTTTTTATTCCTAAAATAGGAGTAATTGCTGCCAAGTTTGGAAAATACTGTCATATTTGAAGTCTGGTACTACCAAAACATAACAGTAATTAATTCTATTTTGGTAATAAAAATATAACAATCCTCAATTTTCAAACCTTTTTAATTTCTCTAAATAGTATGCTCAAAAGAGTTGTACATTCGGATAACACTACAGAATGAGCCCACTCAAGTTTTAATTGTGCTGGTTATCTATTATGATCGGCTCTGTCGGTCCATTGTTGCAATATTGTTATTGTCAACCAACGGCATTACTATTGTGGTTGCGTTTATTTCTAAAATTTCATGATTTCATCTCTTTTGTTTAATTGCTGATTCTGTGAGTAAGGAAAAATCGTACACAATCGTACGATTAATGGTTGCGTTTATATATTGTTGTTAAAATCTCGATTTAAATCGTAAAATCGTACGATTTTACGATTCTACAACAATAAATCGATTCAAATCGCAGGTAAAATCGTAAAATCATAAAATCGTACAAAATCGTAACAAAATCGTAAAAAAATCGTATAGAATCGTATAAAATCGTATCAAAATCGTAGCAAAATCGGAATAAGTTTTTTTTAGTGAAAATGGTTCAAATTTATTAAAACTAACTACTACAAATTGATACAAAATTTCAATAATAATAACATCAATAGTATATTTAAAAAAGTAATGGATTCTTGTGTTATTTAATTATTTTTATGTTTTACATATGTTTAATGTTATTATTCACTCTATTTACAATATAAAAATAGTTTATAAATCTTGTTTTTGACCTTGTAGGTATAATGGTATGTAATAAAATGACATAATACCATTAACTTGCAACTTAATTTCAATATTTATTTATTTTATAATTATTAAAATATGTTTGATAAAATCTTACGATTTGCGATTCGATTTTACGATTCGATTTTCAAAAACATCTACCGATTCGATTCAAAAATACGATTTTAACAACCTTGATTCGTTATACTCCGTATGTAATTCATAATTCATAAACAAGTAAAGAACCATTAATTTGGGAGCAAGTAATACACAATGTTACCGATACTTCAATTCCAATTATCTCTCGCCTACTCCTCCCCTGACTGTCGTCTTCGTGCACTGTTTCTGGTTTGCTAGTTTCGTGCTGGCGGGAGAGAAGGAAGAAGTAAAGGAGTAGAAGGAATCATCTCCTCTGCTTTCACGTAACTGTTTGCTTCTTCTATTTATTTGCATTCACAATTTGTTGTTATTCCTTCTACTTTGGACAATTGAGTTTTGGCTTTGTCTCTCTGCCTCTAAGCGGGTGCTTGATTTCAGGAGATTTTAAGTGTGATAAAACTGTGCTTCAATAAGTTGTAAATTTGTAATCTTTACTCGATTGTTGGATGGTTTCCAGTAACTGCCGAGTAAATGATGGCAAAAAGGAAATGTGTGTACCGGGTTTTGTTTTTCTTTGGCTTCATGTTCGATTAATCTCAGCCTTTTTCTTTTGTGTGTAATTTAGGATGATGTTTTGGCCCATGTTAAACGTGGAATTACTGGAACGCTTTTGTGTTTTCGTTGAATTGTCCTCCTGTATGCATTTATCGAGCACATTGCATTTGTTTTATTCAATACTCCGGTATATTATTTTTCAAAATCTATTTTTTCAGATTTTAAGGCAAAGGTTTATGGATAAAGTTTGTGTCTTGATGTGCATGTTAGAAACTATGTGCCAGGTTTTCTCTTCTTGTCTGCCATAATGAGAGTTTGAGGAATGCTTTTTTCTTTTCAATATGATTTAGATAAAAGGAAAGCTTTCTTCTCTGAGTTATTGATAAGTAATAATGAAGTAAATAGTGATCCACAAGATGTTTCTTTCAATTTTCAAATTTTTACAACTTCCAGTTCAATAATAAATTAACAAATATCATCGGGGGAATAATATTTTAGACGGTGAATTGTAGATTTTTTCTGTCATCTTGTTTTGCTGCTGGTTTTTGGCTGTTTATCTTGATTCTTGATTCAGTCAACATCTCAATTATGATCTCAATGACTTAAATAGTTAAATGGCTATATTTACATGTATTCTTTCAATTGACACATTTAGCTTTGGTCTTTTCCCAACCTGAATGCTCTCATTTGTCGATCATTTTCATTTCATTTTCATTTACCCCAGTGCCGTAAAGGCTCCCACCTACGGTGGGGTAAGGGGGGGGTCGGATGTACGCAGTCTTACCCCTGTACTAAAGCACGGAGAGACTGTTTCTGGATGACCCATAGTGAAAATCGCGTCCAAAATTGCATGGACTGACTGCTGCTTCATAACAAAGAAGCAGCAAACAGTTTAGTGAGCCATTTTGCTTTAAAAGAGAATATATTTTACACACTGTATTCCATTTTAAAAAAGAATCTTTTAACAATAGTTCTTAGATTGGCATCTGTTGACCAGATAGAATTTTGTATCTTTAAGTTTGTTAATTCCTGTTTAATAATTTTCAGCCTGGTTGAAGTTCTAGCAGCAAACATGTCTAAAAGATTAAGAAATGCATGGACTATCCCCAATGGAACCACTGCAGATCATGCCTTAACTGACGTTACCTTGTTCTCATGTTCAATGCCAATCCTTCCACATAAAAAATGTCAGCATAACCATCCTTTTCAGTGCTCATTTTATAACTTCCTTCTTCTTGTATATATAACTTAATATTTTTTTCTTCTGTTATGCAGTAATCCCCAATGACTCTGAGACTAGAGGCCAATTGATTGATGATAGCACACATAGACTAAGTGGATATCATGTAGAAGGGGGGAGTAGTAGTCTATTCGATGATGATGATGATGATACAAGGATGCTTGGGAACTTTCTTCCTGGGGATGAAGATGAGTTATTAGCCGGCATAACATATGATTTCGAACATAGGGGACTGCCTTCTAACCTGGAGGACTTAGAAGATGATCTTTTTGGCAGTGGAGGGGGGATAGAGATTGAATTAGATCGCCATGATAATAACCTACTTAACGGTTTTGCAAAGTTAAGTATTTCTGAAGGTATTTCTGGAAGCAGCATTGGAGCTTATGGCCTTTCCAATGGTTCTGGAGAACACCCCTATGGAGAGCACCCTTCGAGGACTTTATTTGTTCGTAATATTAACAGCAGTGTAGAGGACTCTGAATTGAAATGTCTGTTTGAGGTAAATTTACTTTTGCACAACATTATACCTTCTTCCGCGTGAATTTTGCTACTTTTAGTTTTCTTTTGTTGGAATCCCACATCGGAAAATTAAAGAATGAAAAGTGGATTATGAGACCCTTGGATTGAAATAGTTAATCATTTGGATTCGATCTTTCGATGTGGTTGTGAACTAAGTGTCTAAAAGATGAGATCGGTGATCTCAATTTTTCGCCCATTATTCTTGGTTGTTATACAGATCTGTTCAATATAATTATATGTGAGAGATTGGTTGTTGTGTTGTCTCATATGACTATATGGATTATGGAGTGATCCTAATTAATTTCTTAAGGGTCTTCAGGATTGGCCTTTTAAACTTCATTGGCCTGAACAACACGCAACTGACATGAAAATATGCGGAGAAGCCGGAGAGGCTTTAAACGGGCTTTCTTGCTTTTACTATCATCATTTGAAAGACACTTGATCACTGCAAGTTAGTTTAAATAGAGATGGCATACAAGATTTGTATTGTGTGATTGTAATGTATCTCTAAGAATGAAAGAAATTTTTAATGAAGAAGTTATGTCTCTGAGAGAAACATATGAAATATGATGCATATGTTAAGATGGATATGGTAATGCTAGAAAAAGATAGAATCACAATAAGGAGATTCACCATTGTTAGAGCCCAAATCAGAAATTTAAAAAAAGAATGACGGGTTAATGAAACCTTAGGTTGTGGTTTGGCTCATGTGTCTTATGGCCTAGTTGAGTTACCCCTACAAACCTACCCGATCATGAGTTTTAACAACAATTTTTATCCTTGATGAATTTATTATGTTGCTTTTTTTTTATTTTTTGAGTAATTTAAATTTTTCTTAATTGAAGCAATTTGGGGATATCAGAGCACTATATACAGCATGTAAGCACAGGGGATTTGTGATGATATCTTACTATGATATCCGAGCAGCTCGAATTGCATTGCGTGTCCTGCAAAATAAGCCTCTAGGAAAAAGAAAACTTGATATTCATTTCTCAATCCCAAAGGTGCGAACCTAGATTTCATGCAATTTAAACTTATTGTTCCTTTGAACATAAAATGTACCACCTGTAAAATATCATCTTATTTTGCTGCATGCATGCAGGAAAATCCATCAGATAAAGACGTTAACCAAGGAACTCTTGTTGTGTTCAATTTAGATCCTTCAGTGTCCAATGATCACCTGCAACAGATATTTGGGGCTTATGGGGAAGTCAAGGAGGTTCCAGTTTTATACTCCTTTTCTGTTTATCTGCACTCCAACAAAAGTCATTCTGGTCATATCTTTTATCATGAGCTCATTAGTTGTGGACTATTTAAAAAATGCAGATCCGGGAAACACCACATAAACAACATCATAAATTCATTGAATTCTATGACGTTAGAGCTGCTGAAGCTGCTCTTAAGGCTTTAAACAAAAGTGACATTGCTGGAAAACGGATAAAGCTTGAGCTTAGCCGGCCTGGTGGAGCCCGCAAAAAGTATGTATTTCTATCTTTTGCTCTTTCAGCCTTTCAGCCCTTCATGGTTGCCGTTGTATCGATACATAAGTAGTCATTTTGTTGACTTGGTACCGCTTCTACTATCTAGATGTTATTTTCTTTGTTCAGGATTGACTATATTGCATTTTAATGGATATATTGACCTTTAAACAAGTTTGTTGTTATGCCAGAATATATAAATGATCATACCCCCTTCCCCCCATGTTGCACCCTTAACCCTTTATTTCCTTTTTTAGCTTGATGCAACAAGGGACTCAAGATCTGGAGCATGATGATGTACGATCATTTGGGAATCCAGTTGGATCACCCATAGCTAACTCTCCTCCAGGTGCATTTAGTGTTGACTTGTGATATGATTGTTCTTTCATCTTTGTGGCTATCGTGATATATGATCTGAACTGGTGGGCATTATTTAACAATTAACAGGTAGCTGGCCCAATTTTGGCAGTCCAGTTGAGCCCAATCAATTTCACAACTATAGCACATCTGCTTGTTTAACAAATATCAGCCCTATAAATAACAACATATCTGGCTTGACCTCAGTATTTTCCTCCAGTACTTCAAACCCCATGAAGATTGCACCTATTGGTAAAGATCACGGAAAGGTTAGTCATAAGAACAAAGTTTGATTAATTGGTTGTCCCAAAATGATTTGCAAAATTTCCTGTTTTGGTTGTCCCAAAATGATTTTCGACTTTATATTTTAGGTATAGGTCGATGAATAAACTGACAAAGTTTCCCTTACTTTTACAGTTTTACCCTTTTTCCATTTACTTAAGGGAAAATGGTCAAATTGACCCGTCTACTATTTTCAAACCATCACCTAAGCCCCTATACTAAAAAAGCATCATTGAAGTACCTTTACTTTTAAAAATCGTTCAGTCTAGCCATATTATCGGTTTTTGACTTGTAATAACAGGTTTTTTATATTAAAAAAATCTAAAAAATTGTTTAAAATTTGAATAAATATAAATAAAATATATGAACAATTTCAAAATGTGAAACTCAATAGTTTGGTTTTTTGGGGTTTAGTTTTATATTCTACTTTTTTTAAAAAAAAAATCAGATTTTATTTTAATGTATTTTACATATTCACTTTTTTTGCATTATTCTGATTTTTTATTTTTTTATTTTAACATATTTAACTTAGTTATCTTTTGTCTTCATTTTTACGATTTTATATATTATTATTACATAATTTTTTGAAGTTATATGACTTTTTATAAGATTTATTAATTTTCCAAATTTATTTTTTCAAATATAACTTGCTATAGCAGGTCAAAATGACTTGAATGACTGTATTTTCAAAGTAAGCATACTCATATGATGCTTTTTTAGTACATGGCCTTAGGTGACGGATTTGAAATAGTATAAGGGTTCATTTGACCTTTTTTCCCTTTACTTAAATGCCTCTCTACTTTATGGGAGAAAGGGGGTAATAGTACAGCCAAACTTAATTTATTACCCTCATTGATTCTTGTACCAGTCAACTTTTGCAAATCAAATTGGGACGGAAAGAGTAGTAAATTTTAAGTGTCCAACATCTGGTGTTTACTGATCTATATCTAATATTTAAGTGTGAGGTAACCTCCGTTTTTTAGGGCCCTTTCAGGAAATGTTTTGCCCGAATATTAAGGATCTTTTTGGGCTGTGTTATGCCCAGTTTAACGTAGAGTCCAGTCTGATTAAGGGTTCTTTGTTTGGCAGTCATGTATCCACCTCTCTAGTTGTCTAGTACTATCTGGCCCAAAAGATGTGTTAAGTTCCTCACATTATTTAAATGCAATATTTAAGTGTGAAGTAAGATTTTAGAGTGAGTTAGACCGATTTAATATAAATACTATAAGCCCTTTTTCATTTTCTGAGCAGAAACTCGGTTCAAGCTCTGTGCCTGTCTCATTTGATGACTCAAACCCATCTGTTATTGGGACACTTTCTGGTCCTCAGTTTCTCTGGGGAAGTCCTGTTGTTCAGTCAGAGAAAAATGTTTCTTCTTCTATATGGTCAAAACCATCAATGGGGCGGCTATGTACTTCCAATGCTCAAGGACAAGGCTGCACATATTCCCATCAAGAACAAGGCTATCCATATTCCCATCGACACAACTCGTTCCTTGGCTCTCACCATCATGTGGGGTCCGCTCCTTCAGGAATTCCATTGGAAAGGCATTTTGAACTTTTCCCTGAATCACCTGAAACAACATGCTTAAGCCGATCTTACAATAATGGAGGCTCTCTTGGTGGGACTTTTATTCAAAGTGGTTCTCTTGGTAGGACTATTATTGAAAGTGGTTCTCCTTTTCATAGAATGATTCCATTACTATCAAGAAATGGTCCTATGTTCTTTGGAAATGGCTCTTATGGAAGAGGACTGAATAATAGTGAGTTAATTACTGATTGCAGTCGAAGTAGAAGAGTTGAGAGTGGCGTCCAGACAGAAATAAAAAAACAATATCAACTTGACTTGGAGAAAATCGTGACTGGGGAAGATATGAGGACAACTTTGATGATAAAGAACATCCCCAACAAGTAAGAACAGTCTTTTTAATTCTTTATTCAGTTGACAACTTCACATGGTTTGTTTTTGTGGAAGTGCCAAGATCTACAGACTTCAGCGTTTCATTTACTATGTAGGTACACTTCAAAGATGTTACTTACAGCTATTGATGAGACCCATAGAAATACATACGATTTCCTATATTTGCCCATTGATTTCAAGGTAATTGTAGTATTTCTTGCATTTACCTTTTAGAGCTTATTTTAACTTCAAATGTAACTTAGTCCCCGTTTGATAACCTTTTGGACTGTCAGCATTATTAGCCAGATATTTTTACAAAACACCAGTTATTTTATTTCACACGCTAAATTGGTTAATAATGAAAAAGAGCAAGGTTGGAGGTAATTTTTTGGCTGAATATGTTGAAGATGACTATTTTAGTTTTTCCTTTCTCATACGGAGTATCTTTTAAATAGTTGTGGTTATTTTTATGTCACGTGTTTGTCTAAATTCAATATATAGCCTAATTTAGTGTTTTGTAATGAAAGAATGGCAAGTAGATAAGATGTTATACAATCAATGTTGTTGCATATTAATTATAGAAATGTTATGCACTTGAAAAAGAAAATTAGAAGCTACAAATTTGTTCTCTCCTATTTATACAGGTTATATACCTATTTAACCCTTTTAAATTAAGTAACAAAATATGATTTAAATTAACTTTTCATAATTCAGCCCATTTAGTTATACCAATCGTAACTTCATTAGTTTCAGACGTTCAGCCGATTCAACTAATTTTTGACTTATAAAATGATCGCTAGTCATTGTTTCATTTTATCCCACATTTTACTTTTGATTTCAGAATAAGTGCAATGTTGGCTATGCCTTCATCAATATGGTTTCTCCTTCACATATCATCTCTTTCTATGAGGTTCTTTCTTTTCCCTCCGTGTTTTTTCATGAATATATATGCTCTGTTAAGACATCTCCTTTGGGAGTGAGATATTCTTATAAGTTGTAACACACATTTACGCAGGTATTCAATGGGAAAAGGTGGGAGAAGTTTAACAGTGAAAAGATTGCATCTTTGGCTTATGCAAGAATACAAGGAAGAACGGCTTTAGTTGCTCACTTCCAGAACTCAAGCTTAATGAATGAAGACAAAAGGTGTCGCCCGATTCTCTTCCATTCAGAAGGCATGGAGAAATCAGTTGAGGTGACAAAATTATGTGTAACCTTGTAGAATTTATGACCTAGGGCCTGTTTGGATACAAAATTATAATTAAAAAAATTGACATGGATAGGCCTGCTCCTTGTACACTCTTGTGGTGAGACCCTTCACCAGACCCTTGCCTTGTGTGGATGCCTTCGTTCACTAGGCTGCCTTTTTTAGGTTTCACATACATTTACTGAGATATACTAATGGACATTTTTTTGGGTCACTCAGGAGCCTTTACCTTCCCACAACCTGAATGTTTGTATTCGTGGGCCAGATGGGTCCTACTCAGGAGATTCTCTGGAGGACACTCTTGATAACGACCCCGGGGGTTCGACATTTGCAGGAAGTGTCTGACTACATTAAGTGAATAAATTTTTCAGTGCATATATAATAACACCATCAAAAACATGACTATTTGGACGTTGTATGGGCGGCGCAGTTTATAGTTCTTAGATGGAGGGAGGAATCGAGGCATTTCATTCGAAAACCTTTGTGTATCGGAGGGAGCTGTTAGTTACACGGAAATGCTAACCGGGGGCACTTAGTGATATTGAATTAATTTCTTTCATTGGAATTAGGGGTCCAATATGTGATTTGGGTGATTTTACCTTTCATTTTAACAGTTACCAGAAATCCAAAGTATTGTATAGAGGATTTAGGGATGCCACTCGAGTGTATAGACTTTACTCAGCTGTGTTTGTGTGTGGGAAGGAAACTATTGCCGCTGATGTACATGGATTTTTCTTGTTTATGGAGTATATAAAAACATGTGCTACGTATATCTTAATTTAGTTTCATTTTTTCATTCATAGACTACAAATCTGTTAAATGTCCCACACTGGAAAAGTTTGGATAAACCAAATGCCATATTAACACATGGGTTACTCCTCCCATCAGGTTGACCTTTTCGGATGGAACCCCGGGTCTTAACATGATATTAGAGCCAAATCGATCCATGGTGTGGGGCCCCTTATGAAAAATGACAATTACGACCGGATAAAAAAACGGACCGATGAAAAAAAATGTATGATGGCACGATCCAGACGAACCTTTTAGGATGGAACCTCGGGTCATAACAAAATCGAACATGGTATATTAGTATGTTATATCTCCCATCCCAAAATGATTTGCAAAATCTACATTTCTTTATATAAAAATGTGCTATGTACTTTATTAGGATATCAATTTTTATTATGTTTTAATTTAATTTGAATTTTGCAGCTTTGTAGAGATTTTAATATAGTTTCTGAATATGTAAATTTTAATTAGTAAAACTAATTTAATTGTCCAGAAGGAAAGTGTAATTAATCATAAGTCAAACTTTAAAACCTAAAATTGTAAATCGATTTGAGACTAGAGTTGGACTTGGGTTAGGCCCGTCCGGTCCCGGTTTTGAAAAAGTGAAACCCGGTATTGACCCGGTTTGCTCCGTTACCGATTCCGGTTCGGGTCCAAAAAGTACCGGTCCCAGGTTGGTATCCACCCATTTAGTTAAAAAAAACAGCAGCTGGGCCTGGGCATGGCCTGGGACTGGCAGGGCCGGACCAAAAAAATCATGCCCGAAGCTCGCCCCTTATAGCCAACGGTTTGGGTACTAGGCCGCTACCGGTCACGAGTCGGGCCACCCGGGCCCAATCCATCCCTATTTGGCACTAGAGTAAGAGAGTAAGTAATCATTATTAAACTTCCTTGGTTACAATGATTGGCAATGAAATGTTGCTAACTTTGGGGGAAACCCGTCTACTCTGGGTTGTGTTTTCACTAAACTCTAAAATTGCTAGTTATATATCGATTTATGAAAATATGATTTCAAAACAGGCTCATTATATTCCATGTGAGTTTGGTTCTTGGGAGCACAATTTCAGTTCACGTAAGATTGATTAAAGTCAGAAACTCTGAATGAGAAAACAATGCAGTGTCTTTTTGTACTATAAAATATTTTTCAAATAAAATTATTCACACATCAGATATAATAGAACAAATAAAAGTCTCTACAACTGCATACATAATCCGATTTACATAAATTAGCTTACTAGTGTGTGTAAACCAGGGGCGGATGTATGCCTATAGGAGTGGGGGGCACATGCCCCCAATAAGGTTTTAGAAATACACTAGAAGTATAGTAGTTTATGCAATTTTATTCAAATAATTTGCTCCCATTAAATTTTTGTTCTTGCCCCCATTAGTAATTATTTTATGATATAGATGATCGAAAGTGTGCTAAATCAACAAAAATGGATAAAAAAGATATAAAAATTTTATGAATCTTGAGACAATTAAAATAAGGTACGAAATCAAAATAAGTGAAGTTCATTGGAATATACTGAGTAACATTTATTTGGAAAGATAATAAAATTCTTCTTCTCATTTTCATTTTAAAAACTTAATATTGGAATAGGATTTTTTTATTAACCTAATATTCATGCGTTATATATCAAAACTATTGTATATACTTTCTAAATAAGGATTTTAGTGCTATTAAGTACTACTCCGTAACTATTAGTCTTGACTAAAATAATAAAATAAAAATATTGTTGTTGTAGATGGATTCAATGATAATTTATATTATTTAGGATAAAATAGTTGGTAATGATAAAAGTAAATTCACAAAATATAGCCATAAGGTACAAAATAGGTGCAATTGATAATGAAATACTTAAAAATTATGCAGTATAAAAAAGTTAAGATTGATAGGTTCCTGTTATGTAAAAATAATTTAGGGTATGTTTGGCACAGTTAGTTGAAAAGATATTTTTATGTGCTTTTCAGTAACTGTTGACTTTTAATGACTGAAAAGGTTCAAAAAAGAAAAAGTAATGTAGTTGTTTGATAAAAAAAACTGACAGTTTGATTTAGGATGTTTTCTTTTGGACTGTTTTCAGTCCCAGATCAGACCAGACTTAAACAGACCAGACCAGACCTGACTTCCATAGTTATAAAATACACAGAGACCAGACGTTTACCAGACCAGACCTGTTCAGACCAGACCAGACCAGACTCAAACAGACCAGACCAGCAAATTTAAGTCCAAAAGAAAACATTCTTAGTTTAGTTTGGTATACAAGTTGTTAGTACTAATTAATGCTAAAAGCTTAAACCTTTTTCTCATAAAATTGGCATGCCAAACATACAACTAGAAACTTTTAAATACTTTTTAAGTAGTACAAAATCTATAAGATGTAGATTTATGCCTATCATATATGGACTTAAAGTTTAAGTTATATTAATAGAGCTTTCAATAAACGTTTATGTCCTATAGATTTTGCCCCCAATAACCAAATTTTCTAGATCCACCACCGGTGTAAACCACATATGAATATGAATGGAATAATATTGGTATATTTGTTGATTTCATATGAAGGATAAAAGGTTTCGTACTCTTACCTGTTCGATTCAACATTTTAACGGGACAATGAAAAGAGAAAAATTCATGATATTTTTTAGATTGAAGCTGGATCATTTTCTGTATTCTGGTTTAGCTTTTTCACATCAAACTAACTTGGCGTTTGATCGTAGCCACTAGCCAATGAGGTTCATCTCCACCACCATAAACTTGCATTTGGGCTTCGATTGATTATTGCATCTTCACCTAGGTCTCGTTTGGGAGTGGCATTTGTGATGTAAATTGTAAAAAGTTTTATAATGTCCAACCCAATTCCAAACCATATCATGCATATTTTCTTTTTAAGCCGATTACAATTTCATACGGAGCATGTTAAAAGCCATTACTATAGGAGTCAATTAATAGAAGAGACTAAATTGGAGCATATATTAGACTCTCAAAGTATAAAACCAAGAAGACAATGTGAAAAAGTTACTCAAAGTGGTTTTTTCGTGTTTAATCTTTTCACATCAAATACTCAAATAAAAAAGTTGTACCAAACACTAAAAATAGTTGTTTAACATAGTCAAACAATCAAAGTCAAATTAAAAGGCCAAAAATGGTTAATGGGCGACTTTCCAAACACCTTAAAATACGGGTTTCGTTTTAGCCAAAAGTACTTTATTTTAAGTTCTATGTGCGACATATATGTCATTATTCATAACTAAACATTCACTCTTTCGGTTTCATTGGAGTTGTGTGGCTAATTTTCCTTTTTAGTAATAATGTATAGTATTGGGACATATTTGTAATTTTCCATGGAGAAAGACTTATCTAGCTAATTAGCGTATTGATTTTTTACGTTCTAATCTGTGCATTGTTTTCTCTGCACAGATTGAGGGGTGTAATAATTTATAGTGTTGGGACATATTTGTAATTTTCCTATTTATCTGTGTATTATATATAGACCACCAGGACACCCTAATAGGGTGAGTCATTATTCCATCTTATTATTTCATATTTAGTTGTTCCAAGTTAGTCATTTTATAATTAAATTACTAAAGTAATTAATTTGTTATTTTGCTCATTTTATATACAAATATCAATTACACAATTTTCACTTTATTTATTTCTCACGTTATTTAAAATTCACAAACACTTGAAAATACCGAGGAGAAGCACTTTTAAAAGAACTTTTCATATACGACAATAACGTCAATAAAAATAGTTCTGGTCTAATGACTACACAACATGGAGCATCTTTTGTTGTCGGCCTACTGGTTAGCATAAGTTTTCTATTTTCATTTTTATTGTCTCAAAATAATTTTTGCCACTTTACAAAATGAACGTGTAACTTTTATCATTTCATTCCATTTTGAAGCGGAATCATAAAGGTATGGAGTATTCACATCCAAGTTATCCTATATTCCACAACAATACTCCATACCAAAATGAAGACTTTGACGGAAATACTCCATATCAAATCATACCCATTTTGTTATGGAGTATTCACTATCAAACAATACTCCATATCAAATCATTCCGAGCAATATTGTTGTCCTATTCACTCCATACCAAGATGATTTGATATGGAGTATTTCAGATGATTTGCTCGGAAATACTCGTAGATGAAGACTTTTCCCAAAATCTCTCAGGACAGACTTGACGGATAACCAATTAAGGGAGCCACACTATCAATCAGGAGAGCTAGAGTTTCAAAATACTCCGTATGTTTTAATAATCAAAAATTAAAGATAGTTGTACTCACTCTTATATCCACTTTTGTACCCACCTATGTTTGTGAAGTGTTTTTTTTGTCTGGGAACCCCGGTACCCATTTAAAAAATGGGGTACCGTACCAATTCACTTGATTGGTCCACATAGGTATATCAATTTTAATTTAGACTTAAATAATTCAACTGCAACATTCTGATTGGTCCATGTGAACAAATGTACGGTACCTTTTGGGTACCATAGAATCTACCTAGAAACAAAAGCGGCCATAAAAAACTCTTACGGTTGGATCGTGTCATTTTTTAGCACATTACATATATGCTCCCTAAAATTTCTGCATATTTATATTCAGTACATTTTAGTGATATATTTTTCATTATTTCAATTAAGAATAGTATCTAAAGAGATCTCCTTACCTCTTTTCATTATTTCATTATTTTAGTTGTGTAATAATCAAAATAAGTAATGTTGAAGTTACTTTTCCGGCTGAATTGAATGAAGTTACTATAGAGGACCACTTTAACTATTTTTCATATAAATTTATCTTAATTTTATTAATAAAACATATTTTAGATATAATTTTTTCATAATTCAGCAGAACTAGTCAATCCAGCCACTTCATTCAAAACTTCATAAATTTGAGAAGAATCAAATGATTAATCCAATTTCAGCCAAGCCAGCATATGCCCATAATGTGTG